TCCAGTTGTCAACACCTGTCTTGCTGGGGTGTAAGTGCCCAAGAGAGTGTCTTATTTAGTAAAAGTAAAGCTTACTTGATTTATGACATAAATTAAGGTTGGTGGATTGTATATATTATACGATTATGTATATATCGCAAGTATTTTGCTCGAAGTGTTGAGTTAAACAATGAACATACATATTAGAAAAAATTCGAGGACTAATTATGTTTTAGAGTGTTGATTGTGGATATCAGTTGGGGGAAATTTGTGTGTATTAAAGTATTGAATGAGGTAACTGGTAGGATGGTGTATGGGGAACAAAAATTTTGGTAGCAGGTGATGGGATACAGTAATTTCACATATACTTAGATACATACAATAAATTATGCGTCCTATGTTAACCAGAAAATGTAATCGAGCTATGTCAGAAAAATACTTGCTGAATTAGGGGCATATTGTTTCGGAATATGCCAACGGAATTTGTACAAGATGACAGTGGAATTCTTGACACTTGATGTGACATGGAGGAATGGGCACAAGGAGACATCATCAAATTAGGCAATTGGTATCGCAATCGATCCCGTGACCAAAATTAGTGGTTGATTATATGTTTTGTGCAAGTACTGTCAGATGTCTGCCTGTATGGAAAAGTTCTTTCAGAAACAGGACCAATATCCTTTGAAATATGAAGGAATTTGAAAATGAACACGAACATAAATGCTACATAAAAACTATTCAGGGAACAGCTGAAAGATGGAAAGTGAAGCAGCAGTAAGAATTTGGCAACGATCCCTTGGAAAAAAATTGAGTACAAAGCAATAGTGACGTGACGGTGAAGCAGTAACGTATAAAACTTTGTTGCCTCAAACGTGGTGAGGGTCATATCCAGGTGTACAATTGAAAAAGAGAATGTATCAATCACTATGCTAAACGTCTAAAGAATTTTTTTTTAGATAACAAATTTGGTCAATTCCCAATATGTTGAAAAGAATTGAAAACTGGGAGGAAGAGAAGGAGTTGCCATGAAGAGAAAAAGGCCCCATGATGACAGCTTTGTAATCGATAAGTTGACACTATTTCGAAAAGAACTGAGAGAGAAAGAATCGGGTTGTGTGGCAGTTTTAAGTTATGGAGGAACTGTATACTGGCAAGCTTCATCCATAATGACTATCTCAACTGAGGAAAAAGCACAGCATCTCCTTTGCCCAACGGTGATTAATTCTGGTGTCTTCTACCGAAAGCAGAGCAGCAACCTTTCTCCACCATATACAACACATGAAAGTTATAGTTACAGCTGAGATCCTGCATACATGGAGGAGGTGCATAATATTTACAAAGACTAACAACAGATGAAATGATGCGGCGTTGTGTAAAAGGGCAGAACGCAAACCCTAATGAAAGTTTGCGTCGCGATATTGTTTACTGCAATAAAGCCGATATCAACAAGAGGCTGCTATTTTGCAGTAGCATGCCTTGTTGCAGACTACATACAGGGATATGTGAGGAGCTGTCTAGACATACCCACTGGGGCTCACGACGTTCAACGTGACTCACACACACCTAGAATTAATGCAGAAGAACATGAAGAAGATCGGATCCGAAAAGCAACAGAAGAGGAAAGGGAGCTGGACACGTCCTACTATCCTGGCGGATATCATGTGGTCCACTACATCTAGTCAAAAGGTAGTAATTGTTTAGTGTTTTTTTTTGGGATATTTAATATTATGTATATAAGTTTGCATATATGGGCGCAACTACATGTATCTGTAACTAATCACCGAGAAATAGGATTTTTGAGATTTATTCTTTCTTTTCAATTGATGGGATGGATTGTCATGATGGCCGGCACCAGAGAACTTCAGGATAAAGCGATCTTCATGGAACTAACAGGAATCATGTTATACAACCAGTTCTATCTCAATTAACGTATAAAAGCACTTGAGTATTTTTACCCACTATATTAGTAATGTTGTTTAAGTTTAGTTTAATATGTTTATTATGCACCCCATTACATCCTGTGGGCGGAGTGTAGTAATGTTCAATGTATTTGATTGATTTTTTTCGAAAGTGCATTTATTTGTTTTCCTTCTGATGATGCTCATTATTACTGAATGATCATTCAATTTTACAAAAGTTATTCAAGGGACCCTGTTTGACTTTTTGATGTAGCAGTCTTGGGTAATAATCCCTTCCATTTTGCATACCAGGGGGTGTAAAATGCAAAAAAAAAAAAAATTAAAATAAAGTCGACTTAATAATATTTTTTGGGTACCATAAAACATGTTATTAAATTATTTCTCAAAAATCAAAAAGCCCAATTTTGGGCCCATTACTTTATCATTTGTGATTATCAACAAGGGATATCGAGATTGTCAATATTGACTACTGTTGCTATAAATTTTTGCCATGCCAAATTTTCAATTTTTATTTTTTATAACTTTATTTATTGGACGATCTTGATGCAACTTTTACCACTCATGTTCAAAATGCCTAAAGTCTCTGGTAAAAAAATTCAACGAAATCGTGCAAAGGGAAAGGCAAAAAAAATGATGAAGGTGGCCCCTTTGGTATACGCAACGTAGCAGTGAAGTGTTGCTCAAAATTTTTAAGAAAAGAGCGGATAATTGCTAGCAGAGCTGCGAGACTTGTTGCATGGAAGCAAGAAGAGCAGACACTGACTACTGAGATTCTTCTATTAGCTAGGAAAAGTAGCAAAGTGAACATAAAGAGAAGGCAAACTGTACAAGTTTTCGAAGGCAAAGATGAAAAAAATAATACGATTAAATGTTTCAGCAATACTTCCATCGTCATAAGATGTTGACAATACCGTTTGTCATACTGAGAATAAGTGGAAAGTCGCTCATTACAATAACAGCAGCCAAGACAGCGCTTACTGCAGGGGTCACTCATTATTTTATTACAATTAAGACTTTCTGAAAGTGATCTTCAATATTTTCCCTCAGCGGTCAAAGCATCAGTAATTAAGACTGTAGAATTTTAGTAAGACTTATTACAATATCCATCTACTGACTGCGGCCCGACATAAAAGTTTTAAACTACTAATTTGGAATAATATCTTCTGCACAAATTTTACACAGGTTTTTTTCATCAAAGGTGAAATGTGATATTTGTGTTACAGTTTGTATGTGTAATATTCTGTCGAATTATTAAGTGTTGTTTACACAATTTATATTTCATTAAGAAATGTATGCACTCAAATTTACGTGCAGACTGAGATCAGGATTTCCTGGTGAATCCTCCCATTTTTTTGGATTCCAAGGCATCAAGTAGTGGAAGTTCATTAAGGGGTAACAAGAGTATTATCGACGATGTTTATGAGAAGACTTGCCAACTAATTAGGAAACATCTTGTTTCAAGAATAAGTATTGAATCGCCATTGTACTATGAGAGATGCTGAGACTAAGGTCAAGGGCAAGCAATGGCCAGGTTCTTTCAAGGGAGGAAAAAACAAACACTTAAACTGCCCGAAATTCGCTCTTAGATTTTATTACAACCCAGGATTCCAAATGGCCTGTTATCCCGGGTGTAATGGGAGCAAAATAAACACAGCAGAAAAAGTTTATACTTATGTTATCCTTCACCAATTTAGAACAGCAATATGTACACTATGTACAGTGATAAGTATAGTGCACTCCACGGTAAGCAAGGCAGAAATAGAAGCCACAAGATAGCAGACCTGGCTTTCACCCAGGAGGCCCGGGTTCGATTCCCGGCATGGGAACCAGGTTCGAGTCTTTCTGCAGGATCGTGACTTAACCACTGCATTGGAGGCAGCCAGGTTGGCTGATACCTTCGAAACTAACCGCTCCTTGTCCGAGCGGTCCCGTCTCTCTTTTCAACAGCCTGGCATGAGCAGAGATCGTCAACCTTGGAGAATGAAGTGCCAGCCGGGAGGGAGAACGTCTACGTCAGCCACTAAGTCACCTGGTGAGCCACGCTTTTCAACATATGGTCCACCTGTGGAGAGGCAAACTACTCATGGTGCATCTCGACAACAGTATCCAGAGAGACACCAGCCAGAACGACACCATTTGCAACGTCGCAGGGGAGTAAAGGGCAAGCCTGTCGTCTGCTTCCTCTGTAACAAAGTAGGTCATTCCCATTCTAGAGCTGGTTGAAGCGCGGTCTGCTATCTTGTGGCTTCTATTTCTGCTTTGCTTACCGTGGAGTGCACTATACTTATCACTGTACATAGTGTACATATTGCTGTTCTAAATTGGTGAGGATAATATAAGTCTAAACTTTTTCTACTGTGTTTATTTTGCTCCCATTACACCCGGGATAACAGGCCATTTGGAATCCTGGGTTGTAATAGATTTCAACATAGTTCATATCTATGAAGGCTCCAGAGGGGTGGTCACAGTCGCTCATAATTACAGCGTAATAACCTCATTTGATATTTGAAGAGAAATGTGAAATCTTTCTTGAGAATTAAACAAAAATATAAGAAATTTCTTCTTGAATTAAATCCCTAACACAACAAAAGTGGTGATTTCCAGGGAATTACCTTCTATTCTGCAGGTGTGTAGCCAGTCAGAAATGGCTGAGCAAAACCGCTTACTTAGACAGAAGAAAAGGTCGACGGTGCAACCATAATTTGGCTAATAATGTGAGAAGTTTACTATACACTTTCGTGTTGCCAGTTCTAGATCAGATACAACAACTAACAGTACTTCCACTATCAATCAGTTGATCCAATTTCCTTTCGGTATAGTGACAACAATATTCACCGTATCATATCAGCTGGATGGAATTTCACCAAATGAAACATATCCCCACTATTTAAGTTAAAATAAATGGAGGTTAAGTGGTATTTAGCTTAGATCCTAGAAAGAGAAAGCCGCTCTGATTCCTTAGATAAGGAGACCTTTAAAAGTATCAAGGCTTACCTGCAAGGTGGTGGTGATGGAGGGCCTTCATAACAGAGTAGAGTGGTGATAATGATAATGGAGGGTCCTTATAACAGAGGAGAGTGGTGATGGACAAGGAGTCTTTACCTGGTTCATGTTACTGGTGGTGTGCTGTGGTGAAGAGCCGAGGTAATGGTGGGGTGCGCAGCGGCAGTTCCTCCAACAATGTTCGGCCTCCGTCAATTTCATCGGCTCTATAAACACGAATAACTCATAATAACGCTCTGATAAAGTACATAAACTGCCCTAAGACACTGCCTGACTATCTTAGGCTACAGCCGTCACCCAGACAGAAAGATTTAGTCGTGTTCCTGCCTGACTGAGTTAGGATCAACAGTAATCTTCACTATGACAGACTGGGGTAACAGTGTAGCCGTTGCCTTGTCTGAGGTGTGACTTTGTCTTCGCCCTGAGAGACTGACTAAGGTTCTAATCATCTTCCCGCCCTACTGAGTCAATGTCTAATTGTTTATATGTCTGGCTTGGTAATGGCTTATTATCTCCAGACAATTAAAACATACATTAGCCATTTCTCTGTTTGACTGGGTTATACTCTTAGCGTTTACTCTGCCTGACTGGTTTAGAATGTTAAGAATTCCCAAACCTCTACACTGCTTGGGCTTAAACCTCTAATACCTTAGACCCGTCTTAGATGTACCACGTCGGTATCACAAATACCCTACAAGAATTGATGTGTTACTAAGAGTTTAAAACCTTTGCAGTGTCTTTGCAGACGGTCAACTGACAATTTATTGACAAGTTTTTTAATATAAATAATGATAATGTTTTGCAGTGTAGCTTACGTACATAGCCGACAAAAACGCTAAAGTCCTTACGTTTAAGACTTTTGAGATAGAAAGTCAGCATTCCAAGCTTAAGCTGCAGTCTTATGTCTAGTGTTAAGTTTAGCTGAGGGAGAAGAGAAAACACCAGTGAGAACATACCAATATTGTTTATATGTAACACTGGAAAGTAATTTTTACTTCTATTTAGATTAAAAGAAGAAGAGATGGAAAGTGAGTGTCTTCCGCTACTCCCAGCTGTGATAAGAAGCATGAGTTAGAATCCAGTGAGGTGCTGGTGAGGGGTCGAGATAGCAAGGAGTTACAAATGGGATAACTTGCCTGGGAGAGGCAGAATTAAATGAGGGATTGATGTAGAGTCAAGCTATTAACAGTTACACGAGGGAAACACTTCACGGAAGTTGAAGCTAGTAACAGTTATGGGTGGAAGAAAACTGCCTGGGGGGACAGTCCTGAGCAAAAATCAGAAGCAATATAGAGGTCTCAGGGTGAAGGCTAAGCGCTGCCACCTTGGCTCAGTGACCTGTGTATGTAACTTTGTTCTGTTAATAGTATAATTGTAAAGGATGCATTCAGTGTTTATTTAGTTATTCCTACCTAATATTAAGTAGTTGTCATTCTAAGTTTATCAAATAAAAGGGAGTTATTTTTGCTTAGATATTGGTGGAAAGAGTTAGGTGCTTATTAACCCACGATTCTTGGAAAATATGCAAACATAAGATGCAGTGTAAACCACTACAAACACTGACACGTTCAGAAATGTTGTTGGATGTAAGCAGTTAGGAAAAAAGTGTGAGAGGTGAAAACAAAGTTTTGCGTTAGTAAGTTATCTTAGTAATACCTAAGTTATGAACAATATCTAACAACTTGGCCAGCTACCACATGTTATGCCTCAAGAACTAAAGATGAGTTACTGATTAATGAGTGGTTAATGAATTAAAGTAATTAATTAATTGATGATTAAAGGGTTTAGTTCATTTAATCCTGGCTTCGAGAAAATTTCTTCTGGTTTGCGATTAAGTGACGGGGGATAAAGCCTTCACCTTTCTTTGCGCTGAATAACAACCAATGGTTTAGCGTTTAATATGAATATAGAATTGTAGTAACCAGGGAAACCTATTTACAGTTACTCATTTTAACATTAAAATTTGATTTTTAATCAAATTCCCACATGATTTTTACGAAGGTTAGCGAGCACATGTCTACACGTCTCACTCTACAAACTTCCCAAAGTCAAATTTAATATAGCTTACCCTACACAGCTAAGCCTATATAGTTATTATTGACATTAATGATATTTAGTACCGACAAGCTGATGAATAAGATACACGTGTAACATCTGGGTATCTTGACTGAGGTAGTGACACCTGCTATCAAGGTTGAGGGACTGACCACCTCAAATTACCATCTACTTGTACCATCTCCAATGTTTACTCTTCGTACTGGATTCAAAAAACCACAGATTGGCGAAACATCTCTGTCAATCAAGGTACTCAGATGTTAATTAAACATCTATGCAAAGTCCAAAGAACTAAGTCTACATGTAATCCAGTACTTGTAATACCAAACAGTACCTATATATTACCTTAGAGTTAGTTTTTGAAGTCCCACTTAAGTTTGGAGAGCTTCTGCTGGAGAAGCGCCGCTTGGTTCTCCATGGCTGACCTACGACGGTCAGCTGCCTCCTTCTGTGCTCGCTGCTCCAGGCTGGGCGCCGCCCGCTCACACCCACACCTCGCACACCCTCCACAACATTATTATTATTCCTGCACTTGATCAGCACCTATTATCATTAAACAAGCTGCATGCTATCACATGTTTATTGAGGTACAAATTAAATAATTCAATTACTGAGAGAAAGTATATAGAGTAAACTTGTAACTTGGTACCTCATCAGCTACAGATCTCACAGTGGCGCTTGAAGGTACAAGCAACCAGTCTGTTGTGTTAGTACACCAATGTTTTTGGAATATACTCTAAAGTACAGAATCGTGGGCAAGAGGCAATCATTATCAGACTGGATCTAACTAGAGGTTCTCTCATAACTGTAACTTCTTAAATTAGGTTAACTGGAAGGGAAGGTATACCTTCTTAATTCTCTTCCCGTTGAAGCTGCAGCGTTTTCCTAGTATTTGTTTGGTTAAACTGGCTATAGGTCCCTCAAAACAGCCACCAAAGTGTGCTTTATATCAACATCTCACTGTGTGCAGTTGTGCTGCGGCAACTTTAAATGCTTTACGATGAAGAGAGTTGTCGAATATTGCTGCTTCTGTGATTGATCGGAAATTCTTTGTCTCTTAATATCATTGCAAGCAAACAACGGTACGGGGGGGGGATCGAACTCATGGCAGGTGAGTCTTAAAACTCCAGGTCACTGGGCCAGCTAGCTACAATAACATTCATCCAACTAGGAATATTTATACACCATAGGAAGGTTAAAATGGGTCCCACTGGGACCCATGTTAACCTCCGCAGCCGTAGTTGTCTGTTGTACTCACACTCGCCAAGTGATGCAGTTGTGTCTGTTGTACTCGCACTCACCAAGTGACGCAGCTGTGTCTGTTGTGCTCACACTCACCAAGTGATGCAGTTGTGTCTGTTGTACTCACACTCACCAAGTGACGCAGCTGTGTCTGTTGTGCTCACACTCACCAAGTGACGCAGCTGTGTCTGTTGTGCTCACACTCACCAAGTGATGCAGTTGTGTCTGTTGTACTCACACTCACCAAGTGATGCAGTTGTGTCTGTTGTACTCGCACTCACCAAGTGACGCAGCTGTGTCTATTGTGCTCACACTCACCAAGTGACGCAGCTGTGTCCGTTGTGCTCACACTCACCAAGTGACGCAGCTGTGTCTGCGTCTCCTGTGGCAGCGGAAATGACGCTCCCCGAGCTCTGTAGAGGTACAAGTCGCCGCCTGCCACCCAAGCTGCCGCCCAGGTGCCGTCGTCGCTAACACTCCGCTACCACCACACCACGACGCCGACTTACACTCTCAATACGACTCACACAAAAGTCTTCATGGAAATCACATGAAGAAATAAATAATCTATTTAAAGAAAATATTTTTGAGCAATTTTCCGCCGACTACATAGTCTAACATTAACAGACGTAGATCTATGAACTGTAACTGAGCCTAAAATGTCAGACTAATTCCCTAGGAAACCATTCAAATTTAATTTATTATAACAGGAGTTTTAGTTATTAACCTTCACAGACATTATTAGGTGTATATGATGTCTCATAAAATAGGTTTAACGACACTAACAAGGACTTTGTTTTCTACAAACAAGCACCATAGTATTCACAATTAGATCATAGAAACACTTTTTTTTTTTTTTATTCGCGGTATTCTCCCGGCCCGGGTCTTTTTCCAAGTAGTGGTGACCGGCCTTGGCTCCCTATCTGGGGAGTGTCTCGAGACTTAAGTCTCCCATGGGAGGAGGTACAAGTACCTCCTCATCTTTGGGACCAACTGTCCCAGGCCTAGCAACATTTCCCGCCCTCACGGGGCTCGTAGGGAGAAGCTAGGCCTCTGGTCTGCATCTGCCCCGCCCTAAAAGGGCTCGTGGGGATGGCAGTCTTATGAGCTGCAGATGGTAGCTAGCTCAGGCTTGTAATCAAGACTCACGAAATCGTAATGACACGATTGTAAACAAACCATACCCCGGCCGGGACTGAACTCGCGGTCAGAGAGTTTCAAAACTCCAGACGCGACGATCTGGAGTTTTGAGACTCTCTGACCGCGGGTTCAATCCCGGCGGGGTATGGACTGTAATCAATCCTCAGGACATTGTATTACCAACTATGCTACTGAAAATCTAGGCTTTATAAATTAGAAACACGAAGTCCATTACAGCTGTACTTCACTAATATTTCTACACACCAGGGTAGTGTGCAAATTAACTGGGACAGGATTAAATTTTGTGATTATCTCATTAATATGTCTTAGTCTCCCGCTTAATTAATGTAATCTGGGTTCTTTTCAGAGGACTTTGCTACTGACTTTTGGCAAACCATCCAACAGTAGTGTTACCTCACACTCGCCAGGGCTACAACAGCTGTTGATCTGTAAGGTTATGCCTGCAAGCATGCTTCGTGGTTTTGCCACATTCTCCCTTTCAAATCATGATTACTGTTGAAATTCACGATGGATGTTACACCTAGGAAGCGTGCAAGTATTGTAGCTCTTAGAAAACATGTTGATGTGAGTATCAGACAGATCGCCGAAAATGAGCCTAGTAAAGTCAACTGTTGCTCGGATTCTGAAGAGAGCTGGCAACACTGGTAATTATGGAGCGCTGCGTCGGTGAAGATATGGCAGAAATGCAAGACAACACCCACTATGACAAGGTTATTATAAGAAATAGTGTGAAGGATCCCAAGAAAACCAGCAAAGATCTACAGAGAGATTTGGCTTCAGCTGTCGTAAATGTTGATTCTTCAACTGTTTGACGAAGGCTCCTTCGAGTGGGCAGAACTGCCAGAAAGCCAGTAAAGAAAGAAACAATTACTGACTGTCACTATGAAGAAAAAAAACGGCTGTGGTGGGCACTCGATCATAGAAGATGGACGATAGATGAATGGAGAAATGGAGAAAAGTTACAATTTCAGATGAGATGCATTTTGAAGTACATGGGTACAGATAAGTAGTAGTGAGACGGAACAAATGCGAACTTCTTCGGAATGGATACAATCAACAAGTATCAAAACACCCAGCTAAGATGTTTTGGGGTAGTTTTACTGCTAAAGGCGCTGGACGGCTAGTTATCGTTGAGGGAACGATGGACAGTGACATATAGAAGACAATCCCGGTAAATCATTTGCATCCCATTGCGTATAGAGACTTTCCTAATGGAGAAGACATTTTCAAACAGGATCTTGCTCCATGCCACACTTCCAGAAAAATGCTGGCATTCTTCAAAGGGGGTGAGTTAAGCGTTCTAAATTGGCCTGGAAACTCTCCTGACCTCAACCCAATTGAGAATCTATGAACAATAACCAGACACAGTATCGCAAAATAGGACTGTTCAACTGTGAAGTTAATTGCTGCTGTTATTAAGACCTGGTACCAACACAAAGAACCTGCCAAAACGTTTTCAACATTGGTCAATTCTATGCCAAAGCGCGTAGCAATATACTTATAAAAACAAAGGGCAGTCATCTCTTATTAAATCAATTATCTGTTGTATCATTACTGTGCATTTTTTAAATAATAATTTTTCAAAAAAATGTTTTATTTGATCACTGTCCCAATTAATATGCACACTAGTGTACAGTCTATATTTCAGACTATAGCCCCAAAAATGTTTTTATTGCACATTTCAACGTTTCAGAGGGACATCATTACTTTCACAACTAGGTCAGACAAAAGCTAATAAACACTAGGGTAAACAAGCACTCGGAAATACCAATACCTACTTACACAAGTTAACATACTAGCTCGGGCAAGCTTCCAAATATTCAGAATTGGACGTCATTTATTCGCTAAAACCAGGTTCTCACCAGAACCGGATTAACATTTTGTAGGCACCTGGGCTACAGGTACTGTGAGGCCCCTGGGCTACAGGTACTGTGAGGGCCCCTAGTGATATTTTCAATCAAAAGAAAAAAGTTAAAGAAATATCAAATTTATTTTTACAAGACTAACCACCATTAAATTTCAAACATTTGCTTTGCGTAATTTCTTGGAAACAAATTTCTCCAAAACATCAGTTAAGTTGAGAACACCTCTGGAGGCCCTCCAGCTGACAGAGGACCCTGGGCTGCAGCCCCTCAAGCCCATGTCTTAATCCCGCCCTGCTTCTCACACCTTTCTGTAATATGTTGTTTTGCAGTCTAGGGGTACAGTTACAAGTTCTGTCTGAGGTAGGACTGGCTAGTCTCCTGCCTGAGACTCTGACGCTGTAGTTCTTCTGGGAATGGTGAATGTGGACCAGTCGGCCAACACACGTTACTCCAATTACAGTTTCACCGTCAGGTCTGTGTTGGCGAAAAGAAAAATGAAAAAAAAAAAAAGTCGCAATAATAATTTATACACAAGTATGTGTATGCAAAGAACATCACTTAAATTGTAATACTTGTCACTGTAGAGATACGAAAAATTAACATAAAATTATACCACTATGCAATCAAGCAAGATATACCATGTTATCCCAATTTATCTAAGGAGAGAAACAATTCTAAGGCTTAGTTTTATATAATTACCAGCCTTTACCTCATATTCCAGTAAATACGAGATTCAGCATCTAAAAAACCAGTTAATCCAGGGCTGCCTCATAATTTACACAGGCCTGTTTGTATGGTCATCAACTCTTAAACTGATAAGCCAACAGTACACGACATATATTTTTGTAATTATTAAGTAAAACTTTAGGTGCGCTTCTGCACTTTCTGAAAACTTCAGTGACGACTTTCAAGAGTTGAGCGAACATTATCTTGCCTGTCAGACAAGATCAATAATGTTAAACTGTTGCAGGTTAGTAGCTACAACTATATTGCAACACGTGATGCTGATGATACACAGCACTGCATGCGATGCTAGGTCTATTTGTTGACAAGCAAGTGTCCTACCATAGGCTTCAGTGACTGGCTGATATAAGTCTGGTATCGGCTGAGTAACTACAGTTACTGAGAAAGAGCTAATTCTAGACTGCAGCGCTGTATTTCAAGTTGGACGGTACACGAGTCAAAGTTTATTCCTTGGGTAGCATTGAGAGTGAGTTGGGCAAATATTTTTTTGCTAGTGTTTGAGAAGACCGTGCCTAGGATGGGCCTACAAGTCTGATGCAGTGTTCCTCCTTTCTTATGTTCTTAAGCAGAATCATTCAGCGAGTGAGAAACTCTGGGAGTAGTGTTCACACCAAAACTGTAAATTTTAAACTTCTTACTTGTTCTTCTCTTTTTAGGTAAAGTTACACAAAATATCTTACTGTATTTAAGTCTACACCATGAATTATCAAAATGGTATACAATACCGACAGGTTGGTAAGACATGTGCAACAGTTATCAGTCCATCAACAGCAATCAGCCCATCACCTTTCACCCGACGGACTCATTACATAGCCTTCACATCTCTACTGCTCCTGACATTTTTTCTGTATTCAACTGAAGAAGTATTACGAACACAGGTAACAAATGGCCTGTAAGACCTGGTCGTAATGGGAATTGGAACAAAAACACAGCAGTAGACTATAATGTATATTTGCCTTCACCCACTATATACAGGTATGTGCATTATGTACATATAGAATAATAAGTGTACACCACGGTGACAGATGGCAAAGCAGAAGCCAGAGAGAGAGTGCACCATACTTAACCAGCAGGTGGGGAAAAGTTTTTCAACCCTTTCCCCACAAGTAAAAACCATTTTGCTTCAGTTTTTAAAGGCACAATCTAAGGGGAAAACAGCCCCAAGGCCAGCAAAAAAAACACCGAAAAATAAACTATTAAAACAAGTGTACCCGGGAGGACGCGGGCCCCCAGCAACCCCCCTCCCACCCCCCAAAGGGTGACCCCACAAAAATAAAAAAAAACATGGTTTGCCCCCAGCCCCCCACCCCTCTCTTCCCCGGATTAAAACCTCCAAATTTGTTTCTCAGGTATTACCAACGATCCAAAATCCTAAAGTAATGCATCTCCCCCTTAGTTATTAAAAATTTATGAATCTTCAAGGGGACGTAAAAAAACAAGACACCAGGAGGGAAAACCCGGAGAAAAAAAATCCTCAGCCCTTGAACAAAAGTTTTCAACCCGGGAAATTGACTAAATAGGGAAAGGGCCTTCCAAAAAGTTCAGAAGCCATGCGAACAAATAAAAATTTTAAAATCAAGGTTAAGAAGCAGTAAAAAAAAAGGGAAAAAGAACCAACTTAGATAAAAAAGTTCAGTGACTACTTTGCCCCCCAAGAAGAAAAAAAATTTGAAAAAGGGGAAACGGGAAAATTTTTTGTGGCTGCCCCCAAAGTGAGTACCCTTTCCCTGGCAAATCTTTTGGGGAACCGAGCTCTGAGGGGGGTTCCCTCAGCCTCCCCAAGTGGTTTAAAGGACAGTTTTTCACAAAGGATTGTTTTTTGAAAGGGAAAACTGCCTGCATGCGTATAAAGGACTAACTTATTTTGGTTTTTGCAGAAAAATTTCCTGATTTCAATTTCCCCAAAGTTTTAGCCTTCCCCCCTTCTGGGATTTTCCTCGGCCCCGTGAAACCCGGGACCCTTAAATTCTAAAATTTTCCCAATTGTTTTTTGTGTCTGCCTGAACCTCAGAAATTCCTAATCCGGAGGGATGTATCCCCTGTATAATATGCAGAACGGACACTAGCTTCCGGGCTCCCTTGAGACACGGGGTACTTACGGGCATGCTCTGCTAGCTTACAAAAAGGGCCCCACGATAAAACTCACTCAAAATTCTCCCCAGCCCACTGGCCAAAAATTACGAGATAAAGTGGAGGTCTTGTCTTACTGTTTTGGGCCTGAGGGAGGTCGTTTCCCAAAAATTGGGGGGCCTGTTACCGATTTCCCCGGGGTTCAAATGTGAAGACACGTGGGGGCACCGTTGCTGATCCGGCAGTTTGTCATTTGGTGTCTTTTCTTAAGAAAAAACCCGAGCTGGTCTCTTTCCCAGCCCCCCTCGTCTCTTCGTTAAAATTAGGGTTTGAGTTCCCCCTACCCAACTTACTAGTGTTTGCCTACATTATCGGCCTTTTACTCCCTATTTTTTAAGGGTTTTTTAGGTTACATTATTATTACGTTGTTAGAAAACCTAATATTAATAAAAACTAACATTTAAAATACCTACTTTCCCTAAAGGGGTTTAAATCTATAATAAAAAAAGTTTAAACCCAATCCACGCCAATCGAGAGAAGCTTTCTTTTTTGGGGGGGGTTTATGGGGGGCCCACCCACCCTCAGCTTTCCCCATCACGGCCATGCGGATCTGCCCTGGGGAAACTTTAGGGCCCAAAAATAAATTTCCACATTCCTGCCGGCAAAAGGGTTTGGGCCCCGCTTTTTTTAGATAAGTTGCCCCCGCAGGCCTTCCCAGGGGGGCCCTGGACTTGGCCCCATGGACGGGTCGCCCAGCTGTCAGTCGGTCACCTCTAGTCAAATTTTTCTAAGGTCCGGGTCCCACCATGTGGACTCAAGAGGAAAAAACCCTGTTGAGGGGTTTCTTATAGTTCGACCCTTTTCATTCTCACCTTCCCCATTCTAAAACGCCCCCCTTGTCTGGGTGGGCGCCCTACCGGGCCCAAGAGGCCTTTTATGCCCTGGGCCCCCTCGGATTCTAGTAGCCCCGGGGCCCTTTTCATTATTATTTTTTTCCCTTTCGGGGTCGGCAATGGGAAATTTTTTCCGCAAGGTTTTTCAAGAAAATCCCTGCGCCACACCTGGTTCCATTTGTCCGGGGAGGGTTCCCCAGTCTTGTTTTTACCCCTGTGCAGTTCTTCATTGTTGGGGGGACCATCTGGCCCTTAAAAACCCAGCTCCTTGGAAGACTGATCGAATTGCGGGGAAAGGGGGCTCAATCCCCCCTTCCCAAAACAGCATGTGATTGGGGGTGAGAGCTTCCTGTCGTCAATCCCTTTTTTGTACGTAGGTCAGAGGCCTGTTTTATTGACTTTGCCTCTATTCAACTAACATGCCCTCGTTCATCAAAGTCACTCTCCTGCCTTTGCAAGACCTTCAAAATGCCCCTTTGACTGTCCCCAAAACCTTTTGTTCATAAAACCCCCCTTCCCAAGGCGCCCTGGGAGCTATGAACCCCCACTCGCACTTATTTTTTCAGGTGTTTCGTACTTCTCCGTTCCCCTTTAATATTCCTGAAAAATTTATCAGCCCCCTAAAGCTTGTGCCATTGCCCGAGAAAATCAATCGGGGGGCCGAAAATTCCCCTGAAAAACCCCCTGAAAAATTCACAAAAAGTCTCTGTTAAACTTTATCTTTTCCCAACTCCAAATGCACAGCTGGGAGAAAGTGGCACAAGAAAAACGGGCCCCAGCCATACTTTCTGAGGGCACACCCTATGTCCCCCGGGGTTCTTTAAATTTGAAAAGGCCCCCAATTTATAGTCTTTTCCCAGTCTCAAGTGGTGGCCGGGGTATGAGTGGGTCCCCCCAAATTTTTCCCCCGGGCAGCCCCTTTTGCAATTTTTCAGCACCCTTTTGACGGAGTGACCTTCAGTACCCAGTTTTTTGCCCGTAGGCAGGGGGGGTTTATCAAAAACCCCCCCCATGTAAGGCCCTTGAGGGGGCATTTTTATAAATAGCTCTAACCCCCATCCCCCCTTTCCAGTGCACGGGGTTTTTGGCCCCAAAAAACTGAGTCAGGTTTTGAATTCATCCCTGCATTTTAAATTACCCCACATGATCTAGGAAAAATTTCCCAAAAGATTTTCCCTTTTAAACTTTTCCCCTGAGTCGTCTTTTGGACCCGCCCGGGAAGCCATAACCTGTCCCTGGTCGCCATTTCTTCGCACCCCGGGAAAAAACCTCTCCCTTTGGGTATTGCCTTATCAAAATTTTTTTGGGCCCCGGGAGAAAAACTGTCGACCTTGGCATACCTTGAAAAGCAGTTTCCCTCACAATCAAAATTTACCTTTTCCCCGTGACCCCTATATTTTTTCCCTAAAGGGAGTAGCCCCTGGGGCCCAAATTTTAAAGTGTCGGGTTCCCCGCAAGAGTTATTTGTGGGTTGTTCCCCGAATTTCTGCTCCGGCCCCCCAATCCCTTGCTGGTAACCAGTTGGGTTTTTTGAACCAAATCTCCCCTTTTACTCGCTTTTTGTGGTGTCCCCCTTTGGTTTTTCAGGTGGCGGGGGATTTGTTGTAGGCTCTTTTAAAAATTTTTTGGGCGTTGTTTTTGTTCCCGTTTCTCCTTTACCATTCCCGGGACTTGGGGGAGCCTTGCCTGGTTTCCCCCCCAACGGTAGGCCAACCTCCGAGTTTTTCCTTACATAGATGTGTGTCCACCCCTTTTTTACTCAACACC